CTCTCTCTCTCTCTCTCTCTCTCTCTCTCTCTCTCTCTCTCTCTCTCTCGACTCTTTCTTTATTCTCACGATTAACCTCTATTTTGAGAAAATACAATATTTTACAACAAAAAAGTGTTGAATATATACGAGTCGGTAATACTTACACTCGTTAGTGAGTGAGAGTCGGGATTATAATTAATTAAAAATAATAATAAGTAAGTTATTGTTATTGTTTATATAAATATTGCAAATTATATGGTAATTAACATTCAATAATGAAAAGTAGATTTTGGGAACAAATGTTAGGAAAAGAAATTGTATTCAAAACTAATGGCGAAAGTGTTTAGTCGTTAGCCTTTCATCGCTAACAGCCCTCCCCTTAAACTTATAATGAATTCACATAATTTTGACCCTAAACTCGCAAATCATGGCCAGTAATGGCCTCTTATTTCCATATTATAACTTTTACTGTCTATTCAAATGCTTTAATTGTCGTAACAATTGGTGTTTTAGATTTGATTTATATTTTATTGTTGAGATTTTAATTGAAATTTTGATTCACTTTTCATTTACTATTTGTTGCAATTGTTGGCAGATATTGTGTGTAAAGTCCGGATTTAATGTCTGGATTTATTACCCTTTAATATCAATTAGTATGAAATAATTATCATAAATATTGATAATATTTTGTTATGTGTTATAAAAATTAATTTTATAAAGTATTTTATAACAGCTTTTCTGTCAATTAATTAATTTTAAATGAAAACATTTGATAATTAAATTTAAATAAATTTTTATTTTATTTCAAAAATAAAAACTATTCAAAAGTACATAAAAACAAAAGTCTTATTTATATTAAAAATGTATAAAAATATTTAAATAACATATAATGAGAAATGTTTGGACAGAATTGAAAAAATAGCGATTAAGATATCAGAAGAGAATTAGTCTACAAATTAAAAACAAGAAAATAATGTTGACATCAGGAAAACTATTAACACAAATAATTTAATAAAACTTAAGTTAAAAAACAAAACTACTCTTTAATTAAGGGTTTTTGTGCGGAACTGCCGGTCCTTTATATGAAGACCTATAGACAGGAATGCCCTTAACAGACAACGACGAGCCCTGAGGTAAATAGTCTTTAAGACTGCCGTACTTTTTGCCGCCATTCTTGCCATAAGTGGCCACTTGTTTGTAGTCGTCGTCACCGCCGGCGTCGCCGTTGTAGCCGTCATCGCCGCCACGTCTGCCGTTGGCTGCCTTATGGACCACAGTCTGGATCTCTTCGACCACCGGTTGGACCTGTTGTATGACTTTACGGAACGGTTGTATGATTTCGCGCACCTCTTGTATGACCGGTTTGTAGACTTCGTGGACCACTCGGTGGGGCTCGTCCTCAGACTTCTGGTGCTCCACTTCTCGCGGATGATCTGATTATTTGTTTCACACAAAACAATAAGAGTAAAAGTTTGAGCACTTAATTATGACATTTTTAAGTGTTTGTAATAATAGTATAGCAATAGTAGTGATGGGAAAAGACCTGGAATTCTCGTTTGTTCCACTTTTATGCGATTGGCGTGAGTTCTGAAGTGAATGACAATAGGCTCGTCGTCTTTCACTTCAATCAAGTGGTCTTTCCCTCCGTAACCCTCGCTCTGTATGGGCTTTATCTCCACATTCCTGTACGCGTGTATCGGAGCGCTGTATGTCTTCTCGTATTGAGGCTCGTAGTGAGGCTTTGCATAGCTTTGCTGTCCGTAAGTGAGTCCGTAGTCTTCGCCATAACTGGGCTTTTCGTATCGGGACTCGTATTTTGGCTCATACTTGGGCTCGTATTTTGCCTCGTATTTAGGCTCGTATTTAGGCTCGTATTTGGGTTCATATTTGGGCTCGTATTTGGTCTGGTATTTGGGTGAATACGACTGTTCGTAATCGGGTTTCTTATACGACTGGTAATCGTCGGAATCGTAATCGTCTTGTCGTCTCTGGTGTCCATAATTAGTGGGCATATCGTATGAAAGGGTTTTGTAGCCATCGTTTCCCGCTCTGTAGCCACCCTTATATCCATTACCATTACCTCTGTTCCCGTAATTCTTGGGATCGAGAAGTCCTTTGTAGTCGTGATCTATACGTGTCTTATAGTAGTCTTCAGCCCAACAATAGGCCACTACTGATAGCAGTACTAAAATCTTTTGGCATAAAATATACGCGTATTTTAATTCAAAAGTTTTAGTCAAATGTAAATAACGGGGAAATATATTTAAATATTTTGCATAATTTTAGCTTTAATTCTAAACTTAAATATTTATTTACATATATTTCTAAAAATATGGATAAAGTTTTTCTAATTCCTGTGAAAACATTTATGGATTATTTATTTTAAATCTTCTTTCGGAGAATTTGATAAAAAAATAAGTTATTTTACAAAATATTAATACATTTCGTATTGAATTTAAGGTATTTTTGTGAGGAAAAACTGATTGAAGAATTGATAAGAATTTTAAAAAGTAGTTAAAAATTCTTATAAAAAGTATTTAATAAATTTTTAAGG